ATCCATTGGCCGTCGAAACCATTAAATCAGAGGCAAAATATTTCTTGTTTTGAGATTTCTTTACGAAACGATTGTAAATAAACTTCTGATAATCAGTCTTAAGGCTAGATCTGGAAGTGACCACAAATTTTCGTGCGCCCAATGATTGCATCCATGGAATCAATTCCAGACCAAAACCACCCAAACCTCCGGTTATTATATAGACTTTGTTTGCATTGAAATAAGTCTTAACCGAAACCAATAGTTTGGGAACCGGTTTAATGAATGTAAGAGCAGTTCTTTCCCTTTCCTCGTCCCTCATCTTTACAATGACTTTCCCGATGTGTTCACCGCTTGTCATATAACGAAACGCTTTGTCCGCATCCTTGGCCTCAAACACAGTATAATTCAATGGTTTTACGCAACCATTCGTACAGTTCTTATGCATCCAATGGTAAAACTCATTCAAATAATTTATATCATTAAACATTACGTAATCGATGGCAACTGCAATGAACTGTATATCTCGGATAAAGTAATTCATAGCCAATTGTTTGCTGTGAATCATATCATACTTTCCTATCTCTACAAACCGTCCGCTAATCGCCAGACACTCTAAACCGGCGCTCAGTTTCTCTCCCGTCAGTGAATTGAGCACAACATCCACTCCCTGTCCGTCCGTCGCATCCATTATCTCATTCTTGAAGAGTATATCTCTTGAACTGAATATCCGTTTTTCCGGAATATTGTATTTATTAATCAAAAACTGTTTCTTCTCTTCCGTCCCAACCGTCGCATAGATAAGGCATTCATAGTGTTTACACACATTGATAGCCGCCTGACCCACACCTCCCGCCGCCGAATGAATTAAAACACTTTCGCCTGTTTTATATGACAATTGATATTAAATTACATAAATAGTGTTTTAAGAATCAAACAAACCTTTATTAAGATTAGCCCTTTTAATGAGTCCGTAGTGTACAGTACTATATGTGCTCAATACAGTCACCGCCTCTGCCATTGACCAGTGCTCGGGAATAGCAGTCATATAATTGTCCGCTACATTGGCTGACGTGCAAAACATGCGCCCGAACTCCAGTCCCATCACCCGTTCCCCGGTATCAGCCTTACGGCCAACATATTCGCAACCCAATAAACAATCGTTGTATAAAATATCCACTGGTACACGACCTTGGTAAATACACAGATAATTTATTCATTTAAAACATAAAAGTATTATTAAATTATGTTACCGCTTGCATACATGATATCCTTGAAAGTTAGGCCCGTGTAATAGACATGTACGTTACATTTAAATAATGTCTTATTGTTTGGTAAATGCAGTTCTTTCACACCAGAAATATGTCGGAAATCAAACCATTGAAGTGAAGCCAAATCACGTGTTTGTCCCAAATTTAGGTAATAATCATTTGATAAGCATTTGTCGTAATCGTTGGGAAGTTTTGAGTGCCGATAAGTTCCTACTTTTCCCTCTTTAATAACATTAGCCATCAAATCGTTGGCCAATATATCAGAATAGGGTTTAGTATTGAAGTTAATGTTAGTGTCAGTATTGGTGTCCATATGGAAGATATAGCGGAATACCTCTCCTCCCGGTTCTAATCGCAAACAATTCATTAAACCTATGATTCCGTTAATACACGAGTCATTCGCCACAAGCCATACATTTTCCATCAAATTTGAAGATTCTTTAAAGTCAATCATTTTTTGCTGTAATATTGTAAACCATTTTTGGTAATCACTCGTTATGGTTATTATATTACTTTTTTTCGGAATATTATGAGCTGTAGTTTTTCTAAATAATAGCCCAACGGTTCCAATGGTATCATATTTACTGCAAACCAAATTCATACCCAATGTATTACAAATTGTAATAAATTGATTGATTCTGTCTTCAAGTCGTGTATTAGTTATAATCGATGTTTCCGTCAAAGACATGATTGCTATCTCAGAAGCGGTGAACTTATATCTAAAGATTGCTAACAGAAAACCATTGATTTGTATGTAATCGTAAATCTCTTCTATTAATAATTTTAAATCTTTTGGCCACAAGTCTTGTGAGTCTCTCAATACAATCAAATGCGAGAGATTTATTGACAAATTCTGATTTGGGTTCCATTTAGAAGCCCTACTCTTATACACTTCACTGATATTTTGTTTTGATTTCACTTTAAGCTTATAGTTGACAGCAATAGGATTGAGTCTGAATTGTGTGATAAACTGTTCTACTTTGTTAGCCAATAGACCGGAACTCATGTTAATTTCGGTCACATTTATCTCTTTTGTGATCACATTTTCGCAAACGATATCAATAAGAGATCGTATGAGTCGTTCATTCAATTGGATTTGATTTATAATATCTTTACTCAAATCGTATTCCGGTTTCTCAAAAATTTCATTTAATAATTCAGAGAATTTTGTTTTATTTTCAATAATTTTGCTCTCATTTTGTAATTGAGTAATGATTTTATCAAATATACGAAACATAACATAACTTTTATTGTCATTTCTATATTCTTGGATCATATCTTCGCTAATATTTTGATAATTAAAATCGC